TTAGTTTGGGATTTAAAGGTTGACCTTGGCTAAAAATGTAAGTAATCACTACATACAATCTCTATCTACATAATCTATGTATAATTACACATCTATCCAATAATAACAAAGGATGAAGGCCATTGGCAAGCCTAGTTTCCAGGAACATTAATTATAGTTTCCCTCTACAGGTTTTTTCTTTTTTTTTTTTTTTCCAAAAACCCTTTTTACAGTTCTTGGCAGCTTTTACAAGTCTTTAGAGTTATGATAAGAGTTCATATATAGTTCAAAGACTAAACTCCAAAACAAAATCATAAATATAAGAAATGGCAGGTCCCAGATACTTTCTTTAAACCAAGCTTTTAACTCTTCTAGACTTAAACGGTGGCATTTCATTTCAAGGGCCAGCGAGAGGCAGGCACGACAGAACACAATTCCAATGATTTGCTTTCTCTGTTCTTCAGACACATACATGTAAGGGAGAGGTAGGGCGCAGAGAGCCCACTACAGGCTTTGGAAAGGCCTGTAAGTAATTCCTGGATCTCCCAGGGAGTAAGGGCACCAGGTCCAGAGAACTATCACTTGTCCCATTTTCTGCAGAAAACTCTGTATAAAAGAATTGGTAGGCGATCTGCCTCTAAGCCATAGGAGGAACATAGCTACTTAAGCTACAATTACTCCAAAGCCAGTGCTGACTCTAGACGAGTTTTGGGAGATAAGGATTAAAAGTGGAGAAGACGAAGCCTAAAAAGACCGCTAATAAGCCGGTAGGAAATTGAGACCGAGGTATCCCGACAGGCCGAGCGCTGGGCTGCTGAAGCACAGGCAGGACACAGTTCAACAGGAAGAAATGAAAAGTCCTGGATTTCTGTTTAAAAATCCGCTCTAAGAGAAAAGGACCAGGCTAACAGGGAGGGGCAGTCGGTATGAATGGGAGTCAAATCAAAGTCTATCCCCAGGTATTTTCTGGATGTGGCACTCATCAAATTGGAGCTGACACATAACTGTTTATTAGGAAAAGAAATAAAGTTAGCAGTTCATCTTCAGAATATAGATTATATGAGCGTTCTACTCAAAAGTGTTCTTGTTCTTCAGTGACGAAGCAAACGGGGCAGAATCTTAACAATAGGTGAACCTAAATAAAGATACGTGGGTGGTGCCTTGTACAATTTTTGTTTCTGCAACTCTATTCGATTACTATGCAGCAGTCCGCACTTGGGCTTGAACATGAGGAGCTGACTCTGACGCTTCTTACCGGCGTGGTCCTTAGCTCTGCGGGAGAGTCTGGGGTTGGGCCCCGCTCCTCCACTGTAACGGGGCCAAGCTCACCCATCTCTAATGCTGGGCCCTCTCCTATCGGCAATGTTCCCATCAGCCTCCACGCCTCTGCCCTCTCAACCCTGAAAATAAATGCCAGTGCTAAAATAAACCTCCATGCTTGTTTCGTTTCTAATTCACACTGCACCCCTTGCCTCAAACCAATCCATGACCCCAATTACCATGTCAACTTTAACTTTGTGATCCCAATTAACTTTAACTTCCACTCTAACCGTATTAACTTGAACTTTAAGAGCCTCTGCCAGGCCATTCTCATGGAGGTGGAAGGGAACGGTGGGAGGGATGGTAAGGGCGCGTGCTGACTGCCGGGTATTTTAGAACAAGAATAATAACACCGCTACACGTCTTTCTGCTTTTTACTGTTACCAAGCGCTGGCAATTCTAAAAACCTGAGCGCTAAGGTATGCCTTCCAACCATATGGGCAGCTCCTACTGCCACTCCTTAATACGCGGCCAGGACTGGTCAGCCTCCCTCAGCTCTGCCCAAGGCTTTTATCCAACAGCTTTTCTTTCCCTTAAAATGCTAAATTTAGAAACCCTAATAACGACAAAGGCTAAGGGCAACCCCTAGTATTTGCAATTGCGAGGTATATTATATCACTTTAATAGAACAGTTCATGTGCAATTTCATGGGATGCCTAACTCGAAGCAAAACTAAGTAGAATCCATGTATATAATCCGACGAGTACAATTTAGTTTTAAAACTATTTTTCAAACTACAATAATGTCAACACGCGCCGCACAGCCATAAACTCGCACACGGAGGCTGGGCAATGTGCGGGGACTGATGGGGCCGGACTCAGCGGGACGGACAGGCTGTAGTGGCAGGGCCGCAGGTCTTCCGTCTGCTCTGGCTCTAACATCCTCGAGTCCCTCCGCGGCCCGGAGAGAAAAGCCTAGCTCGGCAGAGGGCAGAGGGCAGAGGACAGAGAGCGACGCTAACAGGAGGGGTCCACCACGCCTCAGCCCGTCTTGCTGAGGGCCATACTCGCAGCAAACGCAATGCAGCCACCGGGTGGTAAGTCAGCAGCCCAACACTCTGCTCGGCGTCTCGCTGTCCAAAAGCTGGACTCCTCAGCGGGTGACCAGTTCTCCTAATTCTACCAAATGACAGGGAGCGGCTTTCTAACTAGGGTAAGCAGAGAACGAAGAATGGACTGTATGCGCTAACGCTGATCATCAGAGAGCACAGAACCAAGAAAAACGTTCAAATTCCATTATACATTACAGGCTGGTGATTAAGGAAAACAAAGTGTATAAGTATGCATATATGAAGACAGAGTTTAGGTTATCACTGTTTTAATAGCTCTCCCAATGCACAGACAGGTCTTTCACTGCAGCAAAAAGAAAAAGAAAGAAAAATAAATCCATAATAAATGGACCCTAATAAAAAAATCGCCATGATTGGTTAAACTGTAAAATACATCTGAATCCTACAGAATAACATATAGACTTTATCTAGAGAAAGCTAAGGAATTTACACTACAATTAGAACATAGAATAAAAATTCCAAAGTTTATCCAGAACACAAGGCACTCAAATTTCAAACATACCATCCAGATATATAACTAGAAACTTGCTGCAGGAGGCAGGGCCCTTGGGTTTCAGGGAGGACCACTTCTTTCTCTAAGATCTCGTTGGAAGACCTGAGTATTGCCTCAAGCACTCTATCTCCCAAAACCAAGGGAAAGGGCAGACAATAGCTTTTTAAAACCAAGATTGTATGGAAAATACCGAATAAGCCTTATTGAAAAAAACAATAACAATACTGCCTAATTGAAAGAATGAAGGTTAAATTATATAAATTAACAGCAGTTAATTCAATAACTATAAAGATCAGCATCATCTTTTTATTTCCTAATTTGAAAAGTATTCAACACTCATTCACATGTTAAATCACTGTTTATGTTTAGGCACCGCTTTCTACTGGTAAATATCAGCTGTGCCACCAAACAGGAGAAAATTGCAACTATTTGACTCAAGCACAGATTTTCTTTCAAGAGCTTATAAAACTATAGTTAGTAACATCGTACATTTTAAGTCTAGAAGAGAGTAGATCAAAAGTGTTCTCACCACACAAAAAAATAAATAAGATGGTACAATGTGAGGTTGTGATCTGTTAATTAGCTTGATTGTGGTAATCGGCTCACAATTCATATGTATATCAAATCGTTACATGCTACACCTATACAATTTCTATTTGTCAATTATACCTCAAAAGGCAAAAAAGAATGTATAAGCTAGCAACACCTCAAGGCACCAATAAATATCAAATGTTCTAGTTTATGTGAATCAGTGCAAGTCAGAGAGCACTAAATCAGATTTTAAAGTCACCTGTTTCAATACAGTAATTTTTTAAAAATAAAAACGTTCAACACTTGAAATATGAAACACCAGAAACAAGCAGCACAATCATCGGGTGTCACCTTCCATCAATGACAACATTATGGCTCTGCCCAGCTACCGTGCCCAGTTGGTGACAAACAAAACAATTCGCTTACCATCTCTTTGAAGCTGGGACAGTCTCTGTAACCACACTGAAGTGAAACACTATACAGTGTAGATTAGGCAGCACATATTAATTGCAGCCAATAAAATATAAATACAATGCAGACAATAACTAATTATAATTATCTCCAGTAATGATAAAAACGAGCCCACATATTATAGCTGCTCATCAAGGAAAACTGTGTTAATGTGTATTTAACAACAAATCTTGGGTTACCAATATTTTTTTTAAAATACTGCTAATGGCAGATATATTTATTTCCTTGTAGCAGAAATCCTTAGTAATTTAGTAATTGACTGCACCCTAATCTACAATTGCCCTTACTGGTTAAACTGAAAAACTAAACAGAACAGCATAACTTTTGGTTTTTTGTGTTAGAAAGGCAGAAAAACAAAGAATTGTAACTGCAAAGGTTGACAGCGGGCTTCCCATGTAATTATCACCATAAGTCCAAAGGCACTCAGAAGTTCATCCCATGACAAAGGAAACAAGACAGCCTAGATCCTGCAGGGCAGAGAAGCCCCCAAAGGAAAACTTGGGTTGGCTTGCTGGTATGAAACAACTTTAAAGAACAAATTCGGTTTCACAAAGAGATGGAGCCCAAGTTGGAACCTGAATGAAGAAGAGTTCAAGCTTCCCGAGGAATGTGAAATATTTTCCTGAAATCCACATGGGGTGCGCGCGCGCGCGCGCGCGCGCACACACACACACACACACACACACACACACACACACACAGCCCCAGTATTGACTAAAAATGAAGCAATAGGCATTCAGCATCCAGTGGGGGGCTGATCACCTTTCTGATCCGTTAGGTCAAGACGTCCTTCCGATCAAGGACCCTCAAGGAAGGGCTGATCCCCTCCTCTCCAACCTTCCCCAGGAAGCCAACCTATGCCATCTCGTGCCACCCTCTCTATCAATCAGCCAACTCCTGGGACACTCCCCCACACGGGCGACTCTCCTCCGAGATGCATCCCTGCCCAGTGTCACCCGCAGATCCCTGTCTCCGGCCTCTCCGGCCTCAGGGTCCCCGGTGCCTCCCTCCCCAGCCCCTTGCTGCAGCCCTTCGGGCTCTCCCCTGTGGTCCCCGATCATGATCCCCCTCCTTCAAATCAAGGATTCCCGACTCTCCCTCCACCCTCACGGGGGGTCCTGACTCTCCAGTCCCTACCGGGTCTCCCGGTCCCGCGGCGCGGGGGTGGCAGCGGGCCGATCAGCACCCACCGAGGACACAAGTGCCTGGAGCGCTCTGGCTGGGTTCAGACCAGAGCCGGGCTTCCGCCTCGCGCCGGAACGCCTTCATGAATGGGGCCGGAAGTCCCACCCCTCTGCGCCCCGCCCCCCCGGCTGCTTGGGAGCCCCGAGGTGTGTTTTCTCGGGCGCTCCTCTGCTCAGGGGATCCGTCACCCACTGTGCAATCGTTGGACCGGGAGACTTCCCAGCTCACGCCCTGTGAAGAGCGAGATGACTCAGACACTGACCCCTGTCTTCACAGTCTAGTTGAAAGTTGACATAAATAATCACATCAGTAGGCAGGTCATGTGTGACACAAGTATCACAATACAAGGTAGTATTGCTGCTTTCTTTAATTCAAGCCTTTGTCACCTACCACACTGTCAGTTGTCTAACAACCGAAACAGAGCCGCTGTGTTGTGGAGAAGAGGGAGGCACTCAGGATAGTGACATGGTGACACAGACTAAGTCAAACACTGGCCTGTCCCTCAGGAACCGTAGTGTAGTGTAGGGACAGGTACAAGAGCGCACAGACAAGGGCGCCGAAAACATCAAGCATTGAAGGAACTATGGCTTCGCTGGAGGGAATGGCGGGGTGTTGGGAACTGGGCAGAGAAAGACTCAAGAGATAATGCTCCTCAGTTGAAACTAAAGTGATGAACAAGAGTTAAAGGTCAGACAAGGTGGGGGAGGCCATGCGGCAGAGGGTGAGGGCTTAGCTTCATCTGGGGCTGAAGGGGCTTTCAGTTAATTTAGCAAGGTCCAAGGTCATAGAGGCGGCCCAGGGGGGTGGGGGGTGGGGGGGGACGCAGTGAGGGGAGGCGGGGCCAGATCACGAAGACTGCTGTGCATCAGACCAGGGAATCTGGACTTCTGACTCCAGGTAACAGGAAAAGGGAGGGGGTCCTCTAGGGAAATAGGCAAAATAGTGAGCTATGAGGTTGATGAGGGTGGCTGACCTAGCCATCAACAAAAAAGTAAGAACCTGAAAGATCATGGGTTGGTTAGAGCATCATCCTGCTACATTAAGGTTGCAGATATGATCCTGGGTCAAGGCACAAACAGGAATCAACCAATGAATGCATAAATAAGTGGAACAACAAATTGATATCTCTCTCTCTCTCAAAATCAATAAATAAAAATAAAAATAAGAATCTGGAAGATCATGGATCATTTTACCCTTGAGGGTGCATTCCCAAACTGCCATACCCGCATGTAAAAGCAACAGATGGCTATTACAACCCTATAAAAGTAGGACCATAAGGCTTATACCCCTTAAATTGCTCCATTGGACAAATCGTCCCAATCAACTGAGATGCCAGCTGAAGCCACAGAGAACCATGAAAGGGGCCGAGGAAGAAACTTCCTTACCAGCTACAGTAACATTGACTATTGCTTCTATTACTATTTTCTTGCCTGCTTCTGGTTTTTATTATATACCTTCTTGCACACCAAGCTCTCTTTTTCCTTTTTAAAGAGAAAAACATACTGTCATAACATTTTTTTCATCATTTTCTTTTCCTTTTGCCAGCAACAGAATATGCTGACATATATGGTGATAAGATTACTGTAGAAGAAAAGGAAGAATGACATTGTGTAGAAAGCCTGTCCTTAGAGGTCACAATGTCACCTCCGGATGGAGCAGAAGAGCAAAGCTTTGGGTTTTCTCCCACTGGGAAGATTAGCAGTCTATTCGTGGTCGTAGGTGAAATAACTGAATCATGTAGCGGAGAGGGGAGTCTTTGAAAGAATGGGAAGAAGAGAGCGTGCATGTGTGGTGTATGTATGTAGTGCATTTTTTGCATGTTAGCATGTCTGTGTGTGTATGCGGAGCCACCAGGAAATAGAATGTAATAGACACTCCATGAGGTGTCTCCCTAAAGCTCACCACAAGCCTTCGTTTCATAGGAATGGCCCAATACACAGGGAAACCCCTTAAAGAGCCATATATGCAAGCTCAAGTGAGCATGTTCTAGGGTGACCAGCGATCCCGGTTTGCCCAGGATGGAAAAGGAATCCCAGGACATTGGATTTTTGGTGCTTAAACTGGGAAAACTTGGACAAGTTGGTCTAACTGTCATATCCCATGTATAATAGATTAATCCAGAGATGGGCACATCTTAAACCTGTCTACTTAGATCACCTTCCCCCAGCCCAGGGATTTTAAATACAGCACAGGGAAACACGGAGAGAAGATGCCCATTAGCGCTGAGTCACATAAATGGCAGAGCCCTAAAGATGTATTGACACCCTTTGCCAAGGACCCAGGACCTGCCCTGTTGCCCTTGATTGCAGGAGATAGCCCTGTGCCCTTCCCAAACAATTTTTTGTTTGACTAGCCAAAGAAGGCTTCTGCTTCTTGCAAACAAAATAATCCTAAGGAGTATGCCTACATCACAGCCTTGTTTAAGATAATCTTCTCCCAGAGTCCCTGCTCAATGGGCACTGAGCCAAGTGATCCATACTCGTTGCCACAGCAAACTGGAGTAGACGGAGACATCACCCAAACAAGCCAAGCGAGCCTCTCATGCATGGATTTCAGAGTTCACATGAAGATCCAATTGGTCTCTCTTTCATGCAGACAAAGAAATCTCCTGTAAACCTAGGATTGGATTAGGCATGAGCAAGATGCCCAAAGCTGATGGAGAAAAGAGGGGAGTAAGTTGAGGGAAGGAGAGGAAGAAGGAATGAGCAGGACAGAAAGAAGGGAAAAGAGAAGACAATTATCTGAGAGGCGGCCATCTTAGTTTCCACTTTTTCAGGTTTTGATTTCTAGTCCCCTGTGAGATCCAGCTAAACTTCCTGTCCTGCATTTCTGTGAAAATTCTGTGTGCTTCCAGCAAACTTCCCATTTTATTTGGGTTATCTTTGGTAGGTTTCTATCCTGAGCGATGCAGCACCGTGATATCAATTCCCAAGACGTAAGATTGCCAGCTCACTCTACAGCATCGCTCTCTCCAGGGCTCCGGAGCCTGCTTCTCTTCTCTGACCCGGTCCCTTCAGAACAACTGTCACAGTCACCATGGGGTTTGATGGCTGGAACAGATCATGCAATCAACATGTGCAGAAGTCTGGAGGCAGGCTTTGGAAACCATGCACTGCAAATTCTTCATTATACAGAGGAGGGAACTAAAGTCAACCGGACACAGTGGTTTTCCTAAGGTCAAACATTTCAGTCCCAGAGACAGAACCAGATCAAAATTTCCTCTCTCCCTGTCCAGTCACCTGATTTTCTGGTGTGGAGAATGCAATAGCCCTGCAGGCTACAGTGAGAACCCTTTAAAAGTGACCCAGCCTCCTCCTACTTATCCCCGCTCTTTGGAACTTATCCTTACCCATATAATGGCATCAGCCTGCCTGCAGAACCGTGACACTTGTTCAGGAGACACTTCTGAGTGACTGCAGGTAATAGACATATGACTCTGAGCCAGGAGAGAACATTTTAAGGAAAATGTTCTTACTTCTTTTTCCCCCAGTATCAACCAGCTGTGAGCCAATGAGGCGAGTTGTTCAAAAAGTGTATTTACACCTTCTACATTCTCTTTCATTCATACAGGGGTGTTTTTCTTACCCTTATTTATTTTTTCACCACCAACATAAACGTCAACATCATTAACAGTTTTATATCTAAAACTCTCTCTCTTCCCTTTTCACATGCTGTAATTTAGTAATTTGCGGCAAAACAAACTAGTCTCTAGTTGCAGGCAATCACAACAGCATGTTCCCTGGAATACTAACAGTTTTTGGAAAGTTAGATTAATTAAAGATTGTGGACTGAGTGATAATTAAGGTCAACTAGCTGAGAATTAATCATTCCCAACCCTACTGCAGAGTATGAAAGGCAAGGAATTTTTTTTATGAGGACCGCAACCTTCTGTAATGCAATACTCACCCTTACACTGAAGTGAGAGTAGACCCCTACTACAATGGGGTGGTGTTTCCTTCCTACAAGGGAAGCTTCCTCCAGAAATGTTTCAATGAAATTAAAACAACTAAAAACATGACCTCAGACATTTTGGTCTAATTTTTTATTGTGGTCAAATATATACAATGTAGAATTGACCATTTTAGCCATGTTTAAGGGCGCCCTTCGGTAGCATTAAGTATGTGCATGATGTTGCGTAACCATTACCACCATGAACCTCGAGAACTTTTCATCTTCCCAAAATGAAACCCTGTACCCATTAAACAATAATTTCCCATTCCCCTCCCCTCCCCTAAGTCTAACTTGGGTCTAATTTTACGTGTTTGTATATCCCGTAAAAATACTGTCAACATGGATTCAAACTCTCTCGAAATAAACATATTTATAAATAGAGCTAAAATAGGGCCTTATTCACTTCTTTTCTCCTGTGGAATTCCAATGAAACGTGATTTCCACAGGGACACATTGTTCAACCGTCAGCTATTTCTACTTGAGACCCACTTTGAAACCTACACTAGTGGAAATCCCATATGTAAATGAGAAACACAGCAGGGAAACTTGGCGTGACACTCATTAACTGGAAATGTGGGTGCGTGTGTTCCCAAAGACTTGTACACAAGTTAATAACTGTAAACTCCAATCTGTGTTTGTCCTTCTGCAAAAACAATGGGCATTCCACGCGCCTGACTGATGCGAAAGCCTCACCTTGTTTGATCCCCAACAAACTCAAAACTAAGCAGAAATGCTCCTCCCAGCGAAAGCTTCACCAGCTAAATTCCAACATGACTAGTAAAACAAGATTTTCTCTTCAATAAAAATGTCACTCCACAGTTTGAAAACTGAAATGGACCCATAGCTCCTAACTTGAAAGTCTCACCACTAGGTGAGTAATGGAATGGAGTTTCAGCTCTGAGCCTCAATGACACAAACTTATTTCCCAAGAAGGAATGAGCTGCAGGCTGGGAAGGTTGAGACACAACTTTCCCTATAAAAGCAGTGGATGCACAACTTAAAGAGAGACATGTCTTCCCTACAAAAGATCCTGATTAGTAAGAGTCTCTTCCTTTCTTTATAGCATTCTCTTAAAATCTTTTATAATCAAACAGTACAGTACAGACTGGTTAAA